AATATTTAATATATACAGTATAATTTTGTATAATTTTTTCAATAATTGTTTCAGCCTTACCTGTTTTAGCCAAACATTAGTTGTCATCATTTGATTTTTTTCATCCTGAAAAGAAATAAAAAAAACATACATTAGTCATCTGAAAATAAATACATATCTAGTAGTGAAGAAGAAGTATATCTGAATTGAAATCAGCGATCCTCCGGTCACACTCAGCATGGGCACAGCACGTCCCCGCACATCTCACGCCTCTCCTCGTACCGCCGCTACCTTATCGTCCTCGTCAGCCGGCCCGCTCTCACACCGCCAGACCCCGGTCCTATTTATGTTTAAGGCGCCCTGGTAATTGTACTCGGAGCCGGGCTTTGTGGGATCTGAATTTCTGATTTATTTATTTATTGCCGATTCCAGCACCTTGAAAGCTTTTTTTTTTTTTCATTTACAGTGAGGAAAAGGAGAGTGTGATGTAAAAAAAAAATAGGAAACCCAATTTAATGACTTGAGCCAGGCAGCCGGCAAAAAAAAAAGACTTATCTACAAATTGATTTTTTTAATATTTATAGCTGAAAAATGAAAAGAAGGAAAGGGGGGCTTTAATATTTATTATAGCGGTTGGTTTGTACTCGGGGGTCCAGCCAAGCGTGGAGGTAATATTAATACCCGGTCATTATTTATTACTTCTCTTAGGCCCCGTTCACATATAGCGACATACCTTTTGCAGCGGATCCGCACGGCCGGGATAGCGCGACTTTCGGGGCAAAGTTCCAGCGACGACCCAGCGACGGTAGCGCGACCTTCCCCGTCGGGCTCCATAGAAAAAAAGTAAAATCGCGCAAAATCCGCCGAAAAAAGGGTCCGGTAGAAGCGACTTGCGACCGCGACGAGCGACGCGCGACATGGAGTTAAGACAGCTCCATTGAATAACATTGGCCGGCGACTTCTCGCGATATCGCGCGGCAAAAATGCACGATATCGCGGCGGAAATCGCGCGACAATTCGCTATATGTGAACGGGGCTTTAATGTGTGTGTACCATTGGGAGGAAGTTACTCTCTTTTGCAGAAGGGAGATCAGAGAGTGACAGTTGCAAAGAGGATGGTAACCTAGCAACAGCGGAACTCCAGGACTCTGCGTTCCTTTGTTACAATGTAACAAGTGTCCATTAACATTGCTGTAATTGGCAGGATGAAACAACGTGAACAGAGATTCCGCGGACGATGGATTCATCTTTTGGTAAAAAGGGAAAAAAATATATATAATTTAATGTTCAGTACTGTGATTTTATAGAACTGGTGTTCTGTAATTTACCAGCTGACAATGAAAAGCAACACATGAATATGCTCCACGTTGATTGCTAATAAAGATTGCCACACAGGTGATGATTACCATAATCCCTCTGAAGGTGCCCATACACTGCTCGATTCTCGTACGAGAATCGCGCGAAATCCAGCGATCGTATGAGAATCGAGCAGTGTGAACGAAGACGTGCGACCGTTCACGAAGACGTGAAGACGTTTCTACTGTACGGTCGCACGTCTTTTGTCTAAGGAGCACGCTAGAAAACCAGCCAAAAATCGTACGTTTTTCGGCTGGTTTGAACGGTGCTCGGGAGACGAATGCCGAACGGGCCGGTGTGCGCACGCGCACACTGCCCATTCAGCATTGCGGTCATCGGACGCCCGCCCTTCAGGGGGGAGGGCTTGCGATGATGGAGAGTGCGATCTGCCTGTCCAAGATGGGCAGATCGTACGTTTTTTTAATCACTTTACAACCATCGCAAGACTAAGGTCTTGCGATGGTTGTACAGTGTATGGCCACCTTAACTCCTGTGTGGCTTCCTAAATACCGCCCCATCCCATCAACAGCTATTTTCACTGCCTGATTATAGCTTTCTGCTGGCATGTAACAATATGGTCAACTCTATGGCCAATGGTTTATGATCATATGACCTTCACACATAACTCTATGGCAGGTCCGGTGCAAGGGCCTACACAGGCGAAGGTGCCCCCCCCCACCCCCGGTGAGTCAGTCTTACGGTAACGCTAGCCCTGCAAAGACATCCCATGAAGCAGCACTCCAAAACTAATAGGAGATCTGAGATATCCATGTTACAGGTCAAACCAATTATCTCAGAATCATTTAGAAAAAAGGAAGACCATCAGCTACTAGTGCTGTATATGCGAAGCCACAAGCAATGACACCCCAAATAGTTTACTGCTGAGCACCCCAATACAAAGACACCCCAAATTGTACCACTCCAGAAAGCATAACGAAAATCTCCATGTTACAGCTCACACTAAACATATCCAGAATGTGGGAAAAGAATGACCATCATTTTCTGAAGCCCTATATGTAAAGCCACAGGCATTGACACCCCACGTCTCTTAGCATGGAGCACCCCAATACAAGGACACCCCCCCAGCGGTGTATTTACAAATGCTGCTGCCCTAGGCAAAACAGCAACGCCGCCCCTCCCCCC